AGTCATTAGAAGACAAAATCGCGATTCAATTATGTAAGTGAAAAATATAATGTGATATGCATTCCAGTTATTTTATATTTATTTTAAGTCATCTTGAGGCCCCCCTGGTTGAGAACCACTGTTAAGATTGTAATGTCTTACCCTGAGGGGTGATAAGTTGCTGAAACGGTGCTACACCTGCGGGTAAAGCCAAAGTTGCTGCTGTGGCTGCTGCACTCTAGTGGAACAAAAGATTGAAACAAGAATTGAATCCACAGAGGACACACATACATTAATGATCAGGTAGAGAGGGAGCGAGAACAATATCCTTGATATGTGTAATCTAATTTGAAGTCGCCAGCTTGGTCTAAACCATTTTCCAGGAAGACTCCACCCATCTGTTCTCCTGCTGGCATTAATGCTGATCCTACAGGGTATTCACATGTACAGAGAACTACAGCGACCAAACCACGCCAGTCATTCACTGTCAGTGGGAGATTTCTGGATTGTGAGTAACGGTGACTGTTGGGTGGGGTGATGTCGGCATGTTCAGATTTGCTTCAAAGTTGCAAAAATGAGCAGTGATGCAGCCAACTCTACAGGCCCGTTCACACCAATGACAATAACATAGTATTAAAAGTCATTCTACATGTAAAAGAACAGCTATAATGCCACTGAGGAACAATAAATATCAATGGAATCACTTTCAGAATGACTTCGGCTCATGAATGATAAAGCAGCAGACAAAATAAGGGCCTTCAACCAAGCCAACAGAAAGACTGGAGCTCACATAATTTGCTGTTTGTGTGAACTCTGAACTACAAACCTTAAACAATTAAGTTAATACAGTGCAACAGTAACACATTTTAAATACATGAATCAAACCAAAAACCTTTTTATATTTCAATATTCCAAACACTAACACGTCACTGAGAAGAAGTACTCAACACTCACCATTCCAGTGGCGCTCATGTGCTGGAGAATCTTAGGATCCTGAACAATGACCTGCTGCTGAGGAGCTGAGAAGAGACACACAAACGGTTTACTATTCAATATGTACTGGATCTCATTTCATTTCTAAGAACACGTGCATGTTCAGATCGGGCCTCACCCTGGTGTACTGGAGGCAGGAGGACTTGCTGTGGTTGCTTCTGCTGAGCTTGTTGGGCTTGCTGCTGTTGAGCTTGCAGAACCTGCTGCTCCTCCGTATGAAAACCCACCACGGCCTTGGACTGCATCAGCTTATTCTCCCACAGCTGCTCAGTAACA